AATAATTTAAAATTCATATTATCTTTTTTATTTTTCTCTCTCTGAATAAATAATTAAATAAAAATGTAACAATTAGTTACGCGTTATGGTTATATAAAATAACGTATCAAATTATATTTGTTGCTTTTTTATTTCTTCAATCTTTTTTTTAAATAAACTCTCTTACTATACCAAGCTCTTTTTTATTTTTCAAAACTAAAAGTATATACACGGCACTCATTAGTTCGTGTCCGTTTAAAGGGTTTTCAAAAGTATTGGATTATAATCGTGGCACTACACCGAGGTACTTTTACTTGAACTTTCTCTCAGTCGATATTATCTACTACCACTATAACAAACTTCGTCTCTTTTTGTTTCTCTAGACACTAACTCACCTTCTCATCTTTTCATAGCAATCCCTTCGTCCCTTATATATATATATATATATATATATATTTCTGTATTTTCTATTTGCTTTCTTTTTCTAAACATCGAAGAACTTCTTTCACGTTATTAATCCCCCATCTATCCAATCAAAACAACTATACATCGTCCAATCAAAGCACTTAATTTCTAGAGAAGAAGATCGAAGTTTTACTTTTTATTTCAATTTTTGTATTTTCTTTTATTTTTGAAAACTATCATATAACAACAAATGCAAGTAATTTAATGGATTTAATTTATATGATGATGATAATTTTATGAAAAATAAATATTTATAAGGATAAATATATTTTTAAAATACACACACTCACTCACTCACACAAAAACACATTTGCGTGCGTAAGCGTGTATTAAAACACTCCCACAAACACGAGACAAGAACATAGAATGTTTTACATAATATTAGCATAGGAAATATATTTCGTGTAAAAAAAAAAAAAGAAGAAAAAAAACGTAGTCGGTGTGCGCAACAACAAATATCCAAGAATGCTCGTAATAATTTTCACCGTCGAAGTTTCCCTCGCGGACAAAAGTTGTTCCCGAAAAAGTTTCAATTCGTTGGCTCTTTCTTTCTCGGCAAAAAAAGAAAAAAAAAAAAAAAAAAAGAAAAAGGAATTTTCTAACAGGCTTGTAAGAGGACTTAAAATTTCAGGTCGCTTTTATTTCTACGAACGTTTACTTCAAAGATATTCGAATTCCTTCCGATTTCCCTTTTACTACTGTAGAAAGAAAAAGAGAAAACTTTGGCTTTTCACGAACTTCATGAAAATCTTTTTCGAGAATTTGAGCAATTTCAAAGAGAGAAGAAGAACCCAGTGCTATTCCAATTTTCACTTAGACGAAAGATAATAACAATAAATTAATCTATCCCTTTTATCATACTACCCAAGTACAATTTCTCATTCGTAATTCTTTTACTCGAGTCAAGGATTTCATCATTCTCCTTTTTCATTTTATCATCTATCTTTCTTGTTATTATTCGATAAGCCAACAATTAAACTAAGTTACGTAGAAAACTACAAACCCGTTTCGATGATTTGTATTAAAAGAAAATTTAATTGGAAGATTATATTTTGCTATATAAAATATAAATAACTTAATAATACTACAACTTTACCGTCTAGCACGTTATTAAATCTAAACTAGAATCTAACTTATAATAATATCATAATTTTCAATTGTAAAAATTATTCTACAATCTCAAGGGACATTTAAGATCGTAAATTAATGGAATCAATCTATCGTTTATCTAATTTTACTTATTATATTTAAAGTTATAACTTCTTTCTTTTAGATCGAATTAACTTTTACGAAAAGTAATAATCATTCGATCAGAGATATAATATCATATATATATAAATCCGAAAGATATAACAAAGGATTGTCCCTTTATCTAAAACTTATCTGCCTATAAAATTAAACGATTTTCTTCGAACTAATAATCGTTACTTTCCCCCATATCGGTTTAAACCATTTCAAGATTCTTACCGAATCTTCTTCTATCGTTATCTTATTATCGATCTATCGAAAAATCTTCTTCGATTGTTACAGGCGGAGATCGAAAATCGTGATAACCTCTGCTAAGCCCGAAGACAGCGGCAGATACGAGTGCATTGCCGAAAGTACTTCAGGTCACCGGGCCTCCCTTGCGGCCCAACTTCTAGTCGCACACGATACCAGAATTCCGGAGACAAGTAAGTACAATTACATTTTTATTCTACGATAAATAAATGAAACATATATCATTTATTCAAAGAACGAAATGGAACGTTCGTTCGTTATACTTTTTATTTTTTTGCGCTCCATTTTGCAAACGTTTCTAAATTACTAACAGGATTGTACGAGGGTTTATTTTTTATTTTTAAATATTTTATAAATCAAAAATTTGTCTAAATCAAATTGGACGTTTGTTAGTTTTCTTCCTGCAATCAAACAAATATAAAATACACGTTTATTCAACAAATATACGATACATTTATTTCTATTACCAATAACGATGTTCAGAGTTATTCAAAGTAACCACAGTTTTTTTAAATGTTTCACCATATATATATATATATATATATATATATATATATATATATATATATGACTCTCCGTTTGGAAGAGAATTCGTAAAAAATTTATCAGAGATGTAAGTGTGTTGGAACAAAAAACGGATATTACACACTGGTAACTAGTGATAGGAGTGACGTGACGTAACGTAACAGTACGACCACTATCCAACTGACGACTGTACGCAAACCATTCGTCATTATACAACTAGCAACTTTTCGTGGCTAACCGCGCTCTACTCGCCGGCCAACGTGAGAGTAGGTACTTCGCTTTGGTGGTAAAGTTTTCAAATATTTTGAGATTCGTGTTCCAGATCTGTGCAAAAGTCGACGAGAGAGAGAGAGAAAGAGAAAGAGAGAGAGTCACTGTTCCAAAATGGAATGACGTGTTGGGGAAAAAAAAAAAAATTCCCGACAAAACGATAAGCCCCCGAAGCTTTTCCTTGATATTTTTCATTTCAAAAGTTATTCAAAAAGCTATCGCAATCTTCGATGATTCATTTCATTTGAATACAAATTTATGTTTTTTTCGTTTAAACGTATACAATAGAATTTATTCGATAGATATTTATTTCTGTTAAAATCAACATCAAAACTAATTGTAAGTCTCGATAGGCTTAACAATTCTACAAAGTAATATCAATCGAAATCTCTCAAAATCATCAAAATCCATCTCACGTATAACCAATTTCTTCTTAATCCATAATTTTTACGAAACACGTATGACCCGATCTAATTTTCGTTTTCCCAACGAAGAGAGGAAAAGAAAAAAAAAAAAAGAAAACAAGAAATAAAACATAGAAATAATAAATCGAAACGAACGCTTTAGGAAAAATAATAAATAGCTGGGTCCGAAGTAGAGAAAGGATAAGGGAAAGGGAAAGAGAAAAAGATCGTCGATCATTTTGTCGTGGAAGAAAAATGAACCCTTGCTGGCTGGAAACTTATCTGACAAAATCCACGTTTTATCCCATCCCATTCCATCCCATCCACCTCCCATTCACCCAACCCCCGATTGTCCTTTCGGCATTTCCTGGATCTAAACGAAAACGAGTTAAGTCTTTGGCTAGCTGAAAGATCGTACCAAAGACGTACGAAGACACGACGTGGATACTGACTGACGTCATCGTCGTCGTCGTCGTCGCCACGAGAACAAGTGTTCTTCCTAGACGAGAGAGATATACGACGACTATCGCTTTACCGACATTGTGTCGTTTACGACGGTCATTTCGCGTAACGACGTGCTGGAAACATTCGCAGTATACATACATAAACGTCCAAAACAGGACCGCATTAATGGGAAACACGTTGATCGATCGTTCTTCCTTCTCTCTCATTCTCATTCTCTTTCCCGTAGTCTTTGTATCTTTGTCTTAATAACAAAAGAAACAAATCCTATAGTATTAGATATACAAACCCGAAAGATTCTCTTACCATCTAATGAAAATTGATGAAAGAAATAAAAATATTAAGCACTTAGATCAAATCGATTCGTCCTTCACTAGTACGATTCAAACTACCTCAGAAGACAGCTTTCATTGCTACAGGTGGTCATACATATGTAGATACGTGCATTCGAATTAAGTCCAAATCATACTTGGATTAATTCCAGAATGCTCGCTCGGACATAGAGAGAGAGAGAGAGAGAGAGAACCTACCGATTTGGGGTTTGGTCGTTAACGTTCTAAAGCAGATTGAGAGCTAAAGACTGATGTACTTAATCAGGATTAAGTAGTATTTATCTATCAAATCGATCCGTAACTGTTTCAAAATTTACACGATCTTATATAGATAGATATTTGCTCGTTAATACTTTAACAACAATATACTACGATCGTTTTATTTAAAAACAATCTATAATTATAATATCAAATCTTTTTCAAATCCTTGTAAAATAATCATTTGTTTTACTTATAATTAAAGTACACATTAATCGAATATACATATATATGTATATGTATGATACAATAATAAGATAAAAATTAAATATAAATAAGAGGGTGGGAGGATTTGTGAGAACAGTTTTTATTTTGAGTAGCATAGATAGGTAGGGTATGTCGCAGGTGATAAACCGAGGATTACGCACCTGATGCGATAATACCTGCACGGTTCAGCGATTCGAGGGAAGACCGGCAAAGCTTGCGGTTCGCCGCTGCGCTCACGCCGCAAGCTCGTATGACGGACAAAGGACGACAATTACAACCCTGGCAGAGCACAGTGTCAGAGTTTCATATAGCTCTGGGCAACTGATGGCGGGTCAGCATGCTGTTTCTCTCTATGTTTCTCTCTCTCTATCTATCTCTATCTCTCTCTTTGTACGTGTCTCACTTACTCACTCACTCACTCAGTTCTGTAGCCACTCGAGTTCTCTATATATATGGTGACTCGACAAATCCTGATCCGTTTCCGTCGCGAGACAGGACCATAGTGAAAAGGCAAAGCCGTCGTTGCGCGTTCCATGGCATTAAGGTATCTGTCTCCCTTTCTCTCTATTCAACCCTATCATTTGCTATCCTACTCTTACTCGTTTACTCATTTACTGTCCTCTCAATACTCGCACGACATTTCCCACTACACGTGCTTTCAATGTAATCGATCTGTTCCAATATCCAATTCTCGTTTTCTCTTTGTCTCTCTCTGTCTCTCTCTGTCTCTCTCTCTCTCTCTGTTCCCTCCCTCCCACCGTCCGTCCCTCGATTATCATCGAGTTATTTGTATCTTATCCGAAGCTCATTTCGCCATCCTATGTTATACAAGCTATTCGATATTAAGCGACATCAAACGAATAAACCGATTTCAATTACGGTCAAATTTAATCTCGTTATCGTATTTTATATTATCCCATAAGTATCGTTCATCATTTAGAATTGGACATTCCTGCGGTTAAAGTCAAATTATATTTGTTTATTCGAGTTGTTTTACTGTGTTAGTAACTAATTTACACAAAGTATACCTAGAAAGATTAATAAGTATACGTTGGGAATTAATTTGATTAATTAATAGATGCGTTTTATTTGACCTATTTAAAGAACAATTATTATTATTATTATTATTATTATTATTATTATTATTATTACATCTAATGTTATTTTATTATGCGATATGTGTTGTTAAATGGTTAAACGTGTTTAAATTATGTTTTAAACGTTATCATTAATTAATCGTTATACCTCAGCATTGTTTGTATATTGTTAAATATGACTCTTTGAAAAAGATTTAAGCACTCATATCGTAGGACAAGGAGTTTGTACTAAATATTAGCCCTTGACAAAGACATCGTAGTACGATAACAAGCCGTTTACTCGATTCGTCAACTGCTCTAACTTACACAAAAGTAAGTTGGAAAGTGGAAGTACGGCACGTTTCCCGAAAGTTAACTCTGCTCTTGTAAATAATGAAATTTCAAATAACATAACGTGCTTATACAACGAGGCTTTTATTTCGCGTTTACGCGTTTAACTTGAACGTAGTAGTAACGTTAATGATCCTACAAAACAAATTTCTATTATAAAATAACGATAAGAAGTTTGTTTTTGTCTTCGATATCTTAACTAACGTTAGAAGGGTTGAAAAGTATTGAGCTTAACCAAAAATTGATTGAAAAGTTTTCAGCTCAACACGCGAGATAGGTTTGAAAAAGTTTTATATCCTACCACGAGCAGGAATGAAAAGTTTTGAGCTTGGCACACGAGGAAAGTTAAAAAGTTTTTTTCTTCGAAACGATTGGGAAGTATATTGGGTCTTACTGTTTGCACAGTGTATGTCCTAATGGACCCCTTGTACAACTAAATCGGTGTTTTGTAGGTTTAATGGAGTCCTTGTAAGTTCCCCCTCTCTCTCTCTCTCTCTCTCTCATTTTTTCTCTCTCCTAAGTACATTATTTATTGAATCTTGGTAAACGATCGCTCGTTTTTTATTCGCATTGGAACGGAGAATATAAAGAGAAAGATTAAAAAAATGTAAAAGAACACGCTATCTCGAGAAAAATATGAATCGTTACACGAAAGAGGCGTATTCCTTTTTAATGAAAAGTTGAAAATAATGAGAACCCAACTTAGTTTTCATTAATGCGAAATTGAGCTTGATACATATTTGGCAAATTAAGGAAAAGAAGAAGAAGAAGAAAAAGTAAGATCTTGAAAATTAAAGATGTGAAAATAAAAGGATCTTAATGATCCTAACGATCTTTATTTATAAAGGATTATCAAAGAAAATGATAAAATAAATAAGATGAAAAATAAGAAGAAGGAAAAGATAAGAGAAAGAAAGATCATTGATAATAATGATAATAATAATAAGAAACGATTAAGTGAGAAGTGGAAAAGCAATTATAAACGGAAGTTGAACTTCTTAGCCTCTCCTTTGTAAAGTTCTAGGTCGTATCGTATTTTCTAGAATTATTCCTTTAAACTGTGCACATCGTAATATACTTGCAGGTCTAAAAGGGCACGTAACGCAACAACGTGCGCATATAATTCTTACGGAATTAATTAGAACGAGGTAAGACAAAAGAAAGAGAGTAAAAGTAGTCAAACAGAGAGAGAGAGAGAGAGAAAGAGAGAATGAGAGAGAACATTTCGTGGAAAGGAATCTCCATGATTTCTCTTCTTGTTCATGTGACTGAAACGAATAGGAAAATT